TGATAGGTACCATACTAAATCGTAAATCAGTAAACTGTTTGTCTCCACAACAGCAGGTTATTATGTAATATGTGTACATGGTAACGCTGATAAGTGATGTGTAACTATACATATATTATGGGGTCGATCGCTCTTGGAGCTCATACACATTTGTCGGCATTTTAATGGTACTCATAGAATTATATTCAATAATACATTTATGTACACTTTATTACCTCTATAAGTAATTTATATTATGTATATGTGCACAATTAATTGAATTTTACGTTCATAAATTAACCACGTAGTATCGCATTTATTATAGTAGGTATATGAAATATAATAGGTATGTTTAAAGTATATATATATGATATATTTGCTTAAGTATATACCTATAATAATATAATATATAGTATTCCTATATTTAAGTAACTTTTTAGATGATGAGGTATTGAGGTCACTATTATAGCAGTTATATATTCATTTAAAATGTTACCTCGATCGCACTTAAATTATACGCTTTATGACACTGGTCAAAAGGTGGCTGAGACATCCGATTTATAAACATAGGCGTTTATGCGATGGGTGTATTGGATCACTTAAAAGATCCAACTTCCAACTTGGAAGTGACAGTCATTATTTTTATAATTTTTTATGCAGTTATGAAAACCAACACATAATATTATTATGCCACCTATATTATAAAACAGTACAGTACATACAGAGGCAATTTCATAATCCTGTCGTTACTCGTTTGCTGTAAGAGTAATGGGCACCGATTACTATCGCATGATAATATAATATAGCGTTGGATCACTGTAATCGTCTTGCGGACTCTGCCTAGCTATTTTTCAGTGTTGGGAGTCGGCAGTTTCGTTAGCGATGACCATATATAGTAGGTAATCATATAATGCCTTGCCCCTATTTGCGCCTTGCGGGTATGAAATACTTATATAGCTGTGGTTGGTATATACTACTTATATATATAAATATATAATATAAGGAGGATTTAATTAATAATCTTGAATTTTTGATAATATATACATACAAATGGTATAGTTTTACAATTATACGTGAAACCTTTTGCAACCGATTTAGCACACAAATATTTAATAGGTATAATAGATATATTAATGTATCTTTATTTAAACAATTGTTAATCCTTTTACTATAAATATAAAAATACGTATCCTGTATTATGTTAGTATAGTACATTTAGGAAGAATATATAAAATATATATAAAATATATATTAATATATTTATATATTTTATATATAAAACAATCATTTTATCTATCGAACCGGTTTATTGATTTAAAAATTGTTTAACTAATTTACTTGAGTATTTTAATAGGTAATATAGTATTTTATATTAAGAACGAATTGTAATAAGGATAATAATTATAAAATCATCATGTCTTGTGCCTGTTATACGTGTGGCGTAATGTGTACGAGTGAATCGTGCTATTATTATAATATTATAATTACTTAGTAAAATATTTCGGTCATCACATTATATAATATCCCCGGGATAAAGTGCGAAATATTTGGCAGTGCCGTACGATCACGGGGTCATACACATGATGTAGGTAAATTTCGATTGAAAATACAACGGTCGACTGTTTATAGTTTCCATCATATACCTATATATGGATGTATAATATGCAAAATTGATATTATAGTCTTGAACATTTAAATCGAGGTAATAGAACATACGACGAACGGTGCACAGCATAATATATTATACGTAGGTACAGGTACTATTATATTGTTATATAACATTATTATTGTCATCGTCTGACGGCGGTATCGCGGAGAAGGCTTTTCGGGATTTTCGTCCTTTGTGCAGCCGCTGCTGCTGTCGCCGCCGCTCTCCCGCCACCCCCGCGTGGGAGACCAGATACACCGCCACGGCATCGCCGCCGCTCGTCAGAGTAGCCGTAATTGACCACATTCTCGCGGGTCAAACGGCGAGCGCGGTCTTCCCACGACGGACTGTTCATTAAACGCGGCCGAGCGCACTTACTCACGATGTACTATACCTATATGTGTGTAGTGTGTACACGCGACGACGACAAAATACGTCTCGTTATAACCCGTTTATTATATACATTATACATATTATACGAGCATACACACGAACACACACTCTTTTTTTCTTCTCCTCGTTTTGCTTTATTATATTTGATATCAAGATGTATATGCGTACGGATTATAACTCATAGGTATACGTTCGCGACTACAAAAACTGATATAATACTATAACTTACACGTATAATACAAAACGGTTGTGCGCGTTATCGTGGGCAACGGTCTCGATACACGAGCTTGAGATCTAAAAAATAAAACGACGATTTACGCGCCGCAATGTGCGGTATGAAATGGGATGGGATGGTTTTGGAAATGACAATAACGTGTGGGAACGGACATGAAATAATCAGCATTTTATTGTAAACGGTGAGGGTCGTCGTTGGTGATTAAAAATACAAAACGTGAATTCCGCATGAATGGTTTTATAAAATTATACTTATAAATGAAAATCAAGATTTGGGAATATTTTTTTGGCACATACAAATTGATGTACTACGTTAGTAATAATATATATACCTATTTAGGTTAGAATAAGAGTTTGATTATACGTGTCTAAGTACCTCTTCATTAATTCCACAATTGTATCGATAAAACCGATCACTCTTATCGATAATATTATTTCAAAAATAATTTTTATATAATATGTTGTATGCCAGTATTACGCACGTATTTTTTCATATACCTACTAGGTATGTAATATTATAATTCATAGGTGTAGTTGTTACCGACTATAAACATTAATATGTACTCATATGATCTATTATAATATGATAATATGTAAATGTAGTGTACGGATAGTAAAATATATTATACTTGGTCATATATTTTTATCATAAATACTACGAATTTTAAATTAGAACACAATTAATATTTATTAGGTATTTCAGGTATAGCCACGGCTGTTTAGTTTTTATCGATAATTTTCATTGAAAAATTTGTGAAACTCGGAATTATTTTAACTGGGTACTAGCCAGAAATAAAAAAGTTATCAACATTAAAGATCGTCGATAAATCATTCAAAATCTGATGGCTATACAGTTTCAGGTACGGGTTCTTTTTCACCAACTGTATATTTTGGGTGCGTAACATAAACAATAGCAATAATATTATGTACAATATAATATAATAATAATATAACGTTTAGAGCACAATAATAATACGCGCGAGTGTCCCGCCGACGACGTACAGGTATCAAGAAGAAAAAAACAACAGGTAAAAAATTATATCGCGACGTCTCGGACCTACCCACTTATCTCGTATTTTTCATCCAAGACTCTTATCCGAATATTATCGAGAAACACACACGACACAAAAACGTGTGTAGGTATGTTTGGACTAATATATAGGTATGTCTGCATAATGTCATTATATATATATATATATATATATATATATAATATTTGTATACACGGAACGCGTAATCGACTACAGACAACGCCGCGCAGCTGATGCGTTCGCGGGGAGGGTGGTCGTTCCACACCGTTCGGTTCTTTTTTCCCCGACCGAAATTCAATAATAAATAAAAACACGGGTCACGGGATCACCAACGGAATCGACGTTAGTACATGCATTTATAATAACTAATAACGATGTGGAATAGTTGGAATTTATATAGTATTATTAAATTGTATACTGTCAATATGTAATATGTATAATATTATGACGATGCCTATGCAAATGAACAACTTTGAAAACTTTGAAAACTTTTTCGCGCGTGCGACGCTAATGCTTGTTGGGCTAAAATTTATCGCCACGCCGCAAACTGGAGTACGTAACTAACGATGGGGCGACCGGCCAGACAACAATTACCTGCATGCAGTGAGCTACTGCTATATATATATTTATATATTTATTATGTAGAATATTATTTAAGTATAATATACACATACACGAGCAACATAATATAATATATTATTATATGTAAAATCTAAATATCGTTTATTTTCTTAATCCCTGACCTATAATTTATGAATGAACGGTTACTGTACGGGATATTTTTTTTTTGCGATAAAATAAGCAAATTACCAATTCCAATTTATTTAAGACATAATAACTATGATTCAAAGTATTTTATCGATTACGATAAATTTTGAATGCGTACGTAGAATATTCTTACGCGTCATAGTAGGTAAATTGAAAAATAACTATTAGATTTACTATATCTAAACATGATGGAAATTGAAAAATGCATCTATTTATTTAATATTCATTTTAGGATTAATTTAATTTTTATCATGTATACATATATAGAAAATAAAAAAATCGTTTTCACTATCTGTGTAATTGTTATTTTTAATCATTTCAAATTAATATAATTGTTAAAGATATATACAGGTATTGAAGGGTATTTTAAATTGTTAATTTAATTTTAAATTAGTTATCCTGTTTTAAAATATATTCGTATACACAGGTAGCAGTCAATATTAGAGGAGTGGCATTGATGGGAAAAATCACCACGCATAATTCATGTTTTTATTTTATTTTACTGTAATTATAGAACTACTTATTATATAAAAACTATTCTAAATAAAATATTTAAATATTAAAACATGATAATAAAATCAAAAATAATAAAAATTTATAATTTATAAATAAAAGTAATATAAATAATTGGGTTTTTTTTTATTTTTTTTTTTTGTATACATGTTTTGTAAATGAAAAATGAAAATAAATGGTTAACATGATTTTTATTATTCCGTTTCTTGTTTAAATGTAAATAAATGAGAATCCTCGAAAAACCGAAAATAATAACTTTACTACATACATTTTTGAACTTAGGAGAATCTCTACGCATATTTCGAATAAAAATAAGATAATCATGATATATGTTTATACACGACACCCCTTATATTATATATTTAAGTACCCATACTTATTAAACATGATATTATTATACTTAAAAACAAATTAAAAAACAAAATCGTGCATACCTTGAGCGATACGAACTGCGGGCATTTTAATCCTCATGGTGAACGTAATCTTGACGGTTCCACCACGTTGGTTACGAAATTTTTCTTTTCATATGAACTCCGACGACAGTGGTCGGTTCGTTGGAAAAACGTTGGCCGGAAGTCGGAAGTCGATCATTTTTCGACCGCGGAGTTCACATAATTATACGTATATAATATACGTCCGGGGGATGAATCTCGTAAATCGAATGACGCGGAGAGTTGTACGCAATTTAGAAAAAAAAAAAACAAAAAAATAATAATAATGAACGAAACAAACGCGTGACTTATCGTGTTCGCGAAATATGATTTATTTCGAATAATAATAATGTCATAAACAACGACCGCGACGAGACGGCAGTGTGAAATAGTTTAAAATAAAACGGAAAAAAAAAATAATAATAAATAAATAAATTAAATATATAGATATTATCTTTTGATTTTATTGATTTACTATAAGTTTTACATATATATCTACCATATTTAAATTTTGATAAATATTATTAAAATATTATAAATACTTAATAATAATTTTGTTTATTTGATTTTACAAAATATATCTTGTATTATAAATATTTTAAAATAATAATATATGTGCAATTTTCATAATTATATTACCTAAAGGTACCTATATTTATTACACTATTTCAATTTGTAATTATAGATTACATAACGTAGGTTAACCTATATACAACTTTTTAAGTCATCGCATAAATATAATAGTTAATTTGTCTTGCACATTATTTGAAAATGAATTTGTGTATATATATAAATATAATTTATATACATATATATATATGCACACTTTTAGCTATTTCCTTATACTCTATTGAGTGTATGCATATCTCTTGGATTTCTATTGCATTAACTCCATAGCCAATATAGAACCCTATATATTCGGATCTATTACACGTATATAATATAAGGTTTCGTTAACATATCAAGTAGTTCTTTCTATAGATATAGGTAATGCATTTTGCATGAAAATAGCAATTTAAGTGATATCTAGGTGTAACGTTTATATATATAAATATATTATGTATACTTATTGATGTATCAACATTGACTAATACATTAGTCATTTTCAAGTGGTCTAAACGTATATTATATTTCATAGGTTATAAAATATTACCTATATAATATATTTATTACATGTGCCTAAAAGTTTTCAATAGGTATATCATGATAAAACAGCACAAATACCACGAACAACAATAATGACGCGTTTTGATTGCAGACAGTGCTAAACGTGTATCTTAATAGATCTCGTAGATTGAAGTGTATATTATAGTAACAATATTTCATACCGCAATATAATATGTATCCGCGGAGACTTGCCGACGTGAAACGCCTATAAAACATTTTACTAATAACATATTATTAACCGTTCCGACGTATGCGGACGCGAAGAAAATCGAAAAATCGCGTGCGACCAGAAAATGGCGACGGCCGCGGCGCGGTGTGGAAAAGGGTTGAAACAATCGCGTGCGTGATATGCCGACGCGGCCGATCGGGCACCGCCGCGATGATCCTTCCCATGCCCACATTGATATCGATTATTGTATGCATATTTATTTTATATCATGTCAGAGATTACATATTGATGAATATTCAGTGAATTTCAAGTTAAATAACCAAATTTTGGTTTATTATTTAAAACGATAGTCAGCAAATGTTTAACAACATACTGTGAGCAAACACAATAATCAGCGGAAAACGCGGTAGCAGGTTAAAATATTATGATATTTATGTTACTGTTAATAATGAACAGTGTTAATTTAAAAATCAATAAGGTATGTTTGCCTATGATATTCGTGATTTTTGATTGAATAATTGCTAATTTAAATGGCTATATTTTAAAATATATACAAAAGTCAATACCAGTACTATTGATAATACTAAATATAAGTGAACCACTGCATATATTAAATGTTGGTATGTCTACTTTTAGAACTATGAGATTATTTTCTTATATTCTTACGTTCATTTATGTAACACAATTTAAGTATCTATACGAGGTATGTTTTCTATTAAAGTTTTATGTAAACAAAGTTATATTACCGACACCTGTACAATTTTCAATATTATAGTCTTTAATAAATCTCTAGTACTAAGTTTTAGTATTGGATATTATTGAAATTTAAAATAATTATTTGATAAAAATGTTGCTGAATCTCTACCAAAAATGAACAAAATGCTTATATTACAGTATAATACAATTTTATTTTTGGCAATTTAATACTATAATATTTCGGTTATAAAATAAAAACGCGTGATGTTTACGTTAAAATATAAAAATACAGTAAAAATTATAATTATTTTAACTATATATCAATTAATTTACTAAAAATTAAGGATGAATTACTTTAGTGGTGAATCTAAATTAATATATTATAGTAAAATCGTTTAATTAAAAATTAAGTTGAAATATTGATGTCGTTACACCTTTCATTATTTTTAGTATTTATAAAATATTATAGTATTAAAAGTAAAAGTGTCTATTCTTTTAATTTCATACTATTGATCCATAACCTAAATGAATATAATAAATAAAGAACATACCCGTATATTTTATTTAATATAAGTTAAATTTATAAATATTAATAATTAATGCAATAAAAGTGGGTGACTTTGGACGTTTTCATTTTTCAAAATAAATGAATTTTTAATTTAAAATGTTCAAATAAATAATATAAAATCTAAACATTTTATAATTTAAGGTCATTGTGATTAATAAATTTAACTGAACGTTTAAATAGACCAGGATTTATAACCATTGGATTATATTTGCTTGATTGACGCAAGTAGATAGTATTAACAAATTATAATGAAAATTAAACTAAAATTTCCAACAGTTAAAATTATATGTTTATATCGGTTAATCTATAGTTTCATTTATGATTTTATATTTCCATTTTTATGGTCGCTTATAAAAAGCCAAACGAACATGAACGTCTCATTGGTGTAGTACGATTTGACAAGTGTCTGCAACAATCATAATATTACATGGGACACAACAGACTACCGCATTTATTATGTTGTTTTAATTAATGTTTTGACCATGTTAGATATTCTGCGCAACCCTTGGCGTTATTATATTTTGAACTGGACGTGCTACATAACACGAAATATTGATTCGATGAAGTTCAGAAGGGACGGAAGAAACGGATAAACTTACGCTATCATACCTAAACCAGCAACAGTGTAAAAATAAAATAAACAGATATTTACATATATAGAATACGGTATTAAAGAAAATGTGTGCTGGTTTTAGCGTGTTGCCGCCAATTCATTAATTACAAATTGTTGGCAATGGTATAATCAATACTACTCCACTACCTGTTTACACAATATAATAATAACAATTTGTAAGGCATAATCTGTATTTAAAATTTATTTATTAATTAATTTATTTATTTATACTCTTCTTAATAAACAATAAACTCACGCGATAAAACGTAATGCAAATACAACGACAATGGTATTACAGATGAAACTGTCGTTCTCTTAAAAATCTCGTTATATAACAAAACTAAATATATTTTAACTCCCTCGATACCAATAAAGATTTGTTGGTAACTCTCGTGAGTTGCAATTTGGGAGCGATGATGAGATTTTAATTTTATTGTAATAAAGATAGCGTCTACTGATTGTATAATGTTCTGAAAATACAAATTAAAATAAATAACTTGCTATTGCGGGTTGCTTCATGATTATCTTTGATAAGACAAAAATTCATGTCGATAAAATAATGACTCTACATTTTACAGCGTTATTTCAACCTCCACGTTATCGTTTAATTTAGTTTCTGTTATATCAATGTATCGCTGGAATTTTGAACATAGCATTTAAGCATGAGTTTAAACAATTTGTTTGTCAATTCTGACAAGAAAGAATAATTAGAATATTAAAACAATATGGTATTAAATGAAAATGGATATAATATATATATGTACCACATGGTGTGTTGATTTAGGTACAATTTCCTTTAAATCTTGTTAAAACGAATTTTGTTGGTTTATGCTCTTAATACCCATATAACGAATTAAATATAACGAACTTTCCTCGATCTCTTGAAATTCGTTGTATCAGTTAACCATTATACATTTTAAGTAAAACTTTTAAAATAAATGATTAACATTTATTTTAAAAACTAATATTATCGTTTTGAAATTTTCATGGTTTGAAATAATTTAAGTAAAACTTTTATAAATAATGTATTTTATTATTTTTAAGTATTTTATACATCACATACTTCTAATACATATTAATAATTTCTGTTAATGAATATTTCTAAAAATATACAATTTCAAACTAATGATTTATAATAATTAAATCTAATGTTTAGATCAGATGTGAGATATACCTTGGGGACACTATTTGGTTACTATTTATAACTAAAATAAAGTATAAGATAATTAATTAACTAATGATCATTTGAAATTTGTGGTTTTATATATATAAACACTTTGTTTTAAAATATGATGCCCTTCTTAAATTACAGCTATATTTTGGTGAGCTATATGAGTATGTTTATTAAGTACTTGGTATATAAATAATACCATATCATATATTTTTATAGCTCATAGTAAATTTCAGTAAATTTTAAGAACTATTTCAATAGATAATTTATTGAAATTTGAATGATTTGATACTATATTATAGTAATTTTACGATAGTATTGGAAAAATATTATTGTAAACTATCTATTATTAATAACACATAAGTAGTAACTCAAAACTTCATTACAGGTGAAATAGCTACATATTAATGAGCACTTAAAATACGTTTTGCCAAACATTATTATCGCACATTATGCATAAAAATAATTTTATTTAACCATATTTTATGGATATATATAATATACAGTACACGCAATATTTTTGCGCCATGTAATATTTAATAATGTATTATTTATGCACATTTTATAAAAATACCGTGTGCCATATAAACCATAATATATTCCATAAACATAGTTAAATAAAATACAACTATTATAATGCGATAATGTTATAAAGATAAAAGCCTTGTTTTTGAGGTGCTCGTATATTATTCAATACCTGTGTTATTAATGAATATTTATTACCATATTATACTATCTTAAATACAACTGTGAACCAATAATCATTCAGGCAATATTAATAATTTAAATTTATATTTACTATGACTTATAAAAACTCTTATGATATGGTAGACAATCGAGCAACATCAACTATATTTGTATTCATTAATTATTTCATATTTTAAAACAAAATATGTTTAAAATTCGATCAATGAATATTAATCATGTTTTAGTTATAAATACAGGCCAACAATTCATTAGTATTACTAAGTATTATGCTAGTAATATCTTTATTGATATATGCGATAGTAATAAAACTCGTAAAAATAACTGTTATTTATAAAAGTTTT